TGAATGTGTATGTGGAAACAAGAGCCAGCAATATTCAGGTTTTGTTATTTATGTGAGGTAGAGAGAGAAGCCTGGGGAAATGTGGGTTTTGTTTTGCTGTGAAGTTATTTTTCCCTAATACTTAGAGCTTGTTTTTTCCTCTGTTGGATAACATTGTTTCTTGTCCCCTACCTGTTCTCAAATGGTAAATTACACCTTCTCATTTATACTGTTATCTTGCTAATACATAAAACTAGGATCATGTGTCTCCTGAGTTTCTTCAGTTTTTTCAGATTTAGTTTTCTTGGTTGCCTCATGCAGTTCTAAAGCCAAAATACATTTATTCTGTTTCCTGGTTTCATTTCTTCATAATGCTTCTCTTGTGTTTTTTTTTTTTTTTTAATGTCTAGGACTATAAATCAAAATCTAGTCATAGCCAAAATAGCTAAGTTACATATCTACTTATTGCTGGGAAGCCCATTTATATTCGTTACATGGCAAAGAATGAAGAAGTCGAGTTGGTTGATGGAAAAGAAGCAAGTTCTCAATATCTATAGCTATTCAGTAATAAAACAGATGTGGAGTTGTGTACTTGTATTTTAAGTGTGGTTTTCACTGCTGCGAGGTTTTTCTCTATATGTGCTTCTTTTTCCTCCAAAGCTTACCTTTGATCTTGTAATGACAAAGTCAGGAATTCTGAAGGGCAATTCTTTACAAAGTGGATTGTAAACATATGGAACTTATTACCTTAAGTGGCAACAAAGGGTGAAGCAAAGAGGGTCAAGAAAGATTTAGCAAAATGTATAGATGATAGATCCTTACTAGGCTGTTAAGGGAAAATGAGATGTTCCTTTCACCCACCAACCTTTTACAAAAAACAAACAAACAAAAAAAATAGTCCATATTCTAGGGAGACAAAGGAGAGAGGCGAGGTGTAGGGGGAAGTTCCTCTCACTCCTGTGCTGCACAGGCTCACCGTCACTATCTCTACCACAGCTCATGTAAGACTGCACTGTAATTTTATCACATGATTGACATTCATGTTCTCCCAAACAGTATGTGAGCTCCTCCAGGCAAGTGTCCTGTTTTGTTTTGCATTCTCAGTGCCTAACACAGTATGTTGCACTGAGGAGGCATTCAATAAAATTGCTCAACTGTTGAATGAATACTAACTATCCCTATAGCCTCACCATCTACTCACTGCTGAGCTCCTGCATTCTGGCTCCCAGTTCTATCCCAACGTTGAAACGCTGCGCTTTTAAAAAGAAAGCTCCCAAATGGCAAATCACTGGTCTTTATTCTTTTTGATTCCATGATAGCATATGTTATTGTTGAAAATGCCTCCTTTTCTGTCTTCTTAATACTTCTCTGTACCTTTGCATCTAGGACAGTAATGTCTGAATTTTCCTCCTACCTGCCCAAGTGCTCCTTGTCTATCTTCTTTGTTAGCTCTACTTTTACCCCTAAGTGGAGCTGTTTTCAAGATTCTGCCTTTGGCTCTCTTTTCTCTTAATAATCCCTCTAACAATCTCTTCCATTTCCACACTGTAACCAGAACACTCAAGAATCCAACTACTCTGTTATGAAATCTACACCCATCTTTCCAACAACCTTCTGGACATCTTGACCTCAACACTGCTACCACTTTCAGTTTAAGTTATTCAAAACTGAATTTATCTTTTATAACAACCACAATTTTTTTTTGAAGTTCTTACAACAAGCAAATGGAGGGGACACACTTGGGTGGGAGGGGGGAGAGGGAGGAGGGAGGGAGGTGTCGGTGATGGGACATAATAATCAACTACATTGTATATTGACAAAATAAAAATAATTTTAAAAAAAGTAAATAAATAAAAGCTCTTGAAAATTTAAAAAAAAACAAAAAAACAAAACTGAATTTGTCTTTTACTATCACCACTCTTTCCTGGTCCTAATAGTTTAGTAACCCAAGTCCTCCCAGACAATCAAACTCAAACCCCGAGAGTTATCTTTGACTCCTGGCTACTCCTCTCTTCCTAAATTATCTTCTTTGACTAAGATTACAACAGTAGACTCCTAACTCATCACTTACACTCCTGTAGATTAAATGTCATAATGCATAACTATGATGATGTTCCTCCACTACTTAAAAACCTTCAATAGATTTCCACTGCCTAAGGAATTTTATGCTAACGCCTTAGTCTCTCATTCAAGCACTCCATGATGTGGTGCCAACCTACTTTTCCAGAATTATCTCCATACTTTCAAACTTTATATATCCTGTTTTCTCACTTACTGTACTATTTGCCATTGCCAAAAAATGCTTTGCAGTTTCTTGCCTCTGTGTCTTAATGACATTTCACGACTCAAATGCCCACTATCCCCACCTCTAACTCCCACTGCTAGAATCCCTAACTCATCCTTCAAAACCCTTCCCTCTATGATTATTTTTCTGATATATCCAGTAAGGTGTGCTATCTCCCTCCTCCAAACTCACATGTTACAGTAACACCTCTTGTATGATACAGTAGCTATTTTCCTTTGCCTTATTCTGTAGTTTTTGTACTTTTTATCTTTCCTACAAGACACAAGGGTCTTATAATGAAGGAAATCTTATTTCAATTATTTCTGTATCTTCCATCATGTCTAGCATAGTACCTTTCACAGATATACAATAAATTAATGAATATTTAGGGGCTCATTTCCTAATCTCTGAGTTTGACATCAACAAAGCCTGTGATCTGGGTTAATATTCAGCCAGTATGTACCAGTATAATCTGAGTAGCTATCTATTGCCTGTATGCATTCTGGCTGCTTAGGGCCTGTGCTATCCCAGTTACTATATTTTCGATATCATTCCTGATATAATAGTCTCCCTTGAACTGTCTTTTAGTGCCCTTAACTGAAACTACACCCTCAGCTGAATGGGCCTGAGGAAATGTTTGGGAGCTCCTTCTGGGTTAACTAATGAGGTGGCTCTTGGGGAGGGGGCAAAGGCTCAGTGTGGGAGATTGGTAATTTAGGCAACTAATCATATAATTTATTAATATTTTGATTTTCTAATGAAGAATACAGACTAACACCTCATTTCATTTAAATACGGAATTGGAAACATTGCAATTAGAAACATAATGGCGCAGCTCTGGTTTTCCATACAGGAATTTCCATATGTAAGTGATGATCAGGAAGATGGCAAGCAAAGTGTGCATCTCTGCTGTTTGTGGTTCACTAGATTTCAGGTTTTTTGGCTATTTCCTCTTATTTTACTTTATTTGGGGAAAAGAACCTTCTTTATCATTTGGCTTTTCTGTTTTTATCTCATCACGTTGAAGTGGAGGTTACCGGAAAAGAGCAAGGATGCCAATGTTGAACAGGGAAACTGTAACAAAATCTAGTCAAAGTGATCTTGAAAAGGAACCAGATCAGGTGCCTAAGAAAGTGAAAACAACGGGGTACTGGCAGGAAAAGAAGACCTAGCTAGGAAAGGCCGAGACAAGGAAGAAATCTGTAAAAGTCCCCGGTTCTGCTGCTTCTTGAAAGAGACAAGAAGATTAGAGAGTTTGGGGCAGATTTGTAAACTCTGTGCTTTTCATCCTCTCTTCCCTTGCTAGTTCTCTCTTCCCTCACTTCCAGCTCTTCTACCGACATCCAGGATGTCTTATCAAACATTGCCACTGTCTGCCTTCTAGTTTCTTTTTACCTCTGGACGTTTGCTTTGGCTACTGCCACTTGGAATGACTGCGACAGCTAAATGGGCTGATATTTTTGACTCTATGTGTTCACAGAGAGACTCCAGCTACAAACCAAAGGAGATCACAATTTATTTTATTTTATTTTTGTGGCTGGCTGGTTCCGAGATATGAACCTGTGACCTTGGTATTATAAGGCTGTGCTCTAACCGAGCTAACCAGCCAGCCCAGAGATCCCAATTTAGATTACTTGGAATCAGTAGCATAAAATTATGCAGTCTGTGAATATATTTTGGTGTTTCACAGTTGACAAAACTATATTCCCTTGAGTACCAAACTCGCAGAAACCCCATGAAATGCTCTCTCTCTCTCTCTCTCCTCGTAGTCTTTCTAGAATCAGTGTGAGGTGTGAGACTAATCAGACAGGGGCCTTAGAAAATGTGTATTTTTAAAATAAACAGCTGAGAAAGATTATGGCAGTTCTTTTATGGCCCAGAATAACATGCTTTTATTTAGCTGCTTAACAGAGAACTGAATTGGGACAAAAATTACTTTAGTTTGCCTTTCACTGACTATTATTGCTCTGATAATTCAAGAAAGAGCAGTGAAGGTTTTTTTTTTTTCCTTAAGAGGTGGAAGAGGCCTCTGACAGCCTGGTAGAACATTCTCATTTTGCAGAAGAAGACTGAGGATAGGTGGAATGGCTGGCTCATAGTTACAGATCAGTAGTGCTCCAATCACTCTGCTATGCAACATTACCTTAAAAAATTAATATGAACATATCAGTACAGATTTTCACTTTCTTTCCTCCAGTTTTCCACTCCTGGATAGAATGGGTAGAATGTTACCCATTACTCATCAGGATTCACTCAAATGTGAAAAAGATGACTATAACTTACATTGTTTTCTGCCACAAGTTTCACCATTGCTAAAAGCTTTCCTGGATAACTCTGCACTGGGCCTCATTTCTCTCACTCGTTTGCTGACGTATAATGGTTTTGAGAGCTACCAATTTCCATTCTGATGACATACGATAACTTCAAGTCCAAACACAGAATATTTTTGAATTGTAGGCTATTCAAGACAAATCTTATTAATCTTAAAATAAGGAGAGTTTACATATTTACTATTAATTTTCTTTGTTTTAATTTACTTCTCCATATAGCTTTATGGCCCATGAAGAAGACTTTTAAAATCAACATACCTAATTTCTTCCTCTACTTCGAGAAAGATATAAGACCTATTTAGAGGAGGTGGACAGTTTAGCCAACTCGGATTATCTGAAGAGGAGCTATTATTTACCTCAGCTATAAGGTGTGAACAGAGAAGGTGAAAAACTTACTAGTTCCACTTGAGTGAGGCAGGTTGTTTTACTTCTTTTATGTTTTTTCTTCCCCTGAGATCAATTTTCATAGTGTGGCTTTATCTGTTACTAATCAAATATACACACAAAAATTTGTTTCAGTGCTTTGGGATTTTGGGGGGTCTTGGATTATCAGTGCCTCTACTCCTTTCATTAACATGGATAATAAAGAACAGATTATACTGCAAAACCAAAATGGCCTCTAGAAACAAGTATTATCTCAGTTTCCTTACCTGTGAATAGTTAATGTGACATCCTTAGGGCCAATTTTAATGATTTAATTACATTTATGGCTTTAAACCACCTTCTACCCAAACCACGTGCTCATAAAATAACAATTAAAAATACTTAATATTAAACACAGTGGGAGTCTTGTTTCTGATTTTTTTTTTTGCAAAGTCTACAGTTATCGAAGATACGTTTACTAAGTTGAAACTTACAATCACATAGATGTAGAAGCCTGCTGAGATTTCACACATGAACTAACTGTTAAAAAAAAAAAAAAAGTCTTCACGAAGAAGTTTTTTTCTTTTTTTCTTTTTTTGGTACTTGGCGCTGAACATTCACATTTTACAATACCATGCGAGCTAGAATGGGTTTTACCTGGATTCCTTGGAATCCGCTTTCTGCGGTCTCGGAATGCTGCACCTGACTGCAGGGCTTCTAGAAGATTATCCATCACGCCAGTCTCATCACCCTCTGGAGGAAGGGAGAAATCGGAATTAATCTTAGAGCAATTAAAGTTAAACTACAGGAAAATAAAGGGAAAAACTCCTGTCAGATTTACATAATACCCCTAAATTAAAGACATATATCTGTTTTAACATAATGTATCCTGTCAGTTTCTGGCACCACAGACTACTTTGCTTATTACGCACCATTAAGCAAAATTCATGCCAATCCCACTGTTCTTTCAACTTAAAGACTTTGTCTTTTGTATTATTGATGACACGCTCAGTATGCAAATAAACAGTAGCTGATCAGCTACTGCTGCCTTCCTGTTAAGATTCTTATGAGATGTTCCTAAGCAAGAAACCACTGACCCAGCTTAATGCAATCAATGTGCAGGGCGTGATTTGATGAAGCGGAGTTACACAAGGTTAAATACTGATTGTATTAATACCTTCAGCATTCAACCATCATCTGCAGATTATCTCAAAAGACACTATTTGCAAAACACATTTGCATTCAATTCCTACTGAATCCATACCCTTTACCCATTTTGAAATGCTGACATTGTACAAAGAAAAGGTGACCACATCATCTAAAAGGCCACATTTTACAACTGAGAGACATTAGCCAGCATTTCACTTCCTTTTCAGAATGCTAGTCTGTGTCTAAACTTTTCCTATGGGAAAGAACTGTTAAGAAGCCATGAGTGGAGTGCTCAAACGATGTTCATGGAAATTCCTAACAGAAACGGCATTAAAAACATTTCACCCTACTCTTATCTTTCACAACTGTGGCCATCAAAAACACTTTTAAGATTTGTTAGAGCATTTGTCTCAAGGTGTCAATTGCCAGAAACTCTCTCCTACCCTGTGGATTGAGCTATTTGAAATGCCTAAGGAATATCTAAGTAGGAATAACCACTAGGAATGGGTCTAGAACCCAGGAATATCTAAGTAGGAATAACCCTGGAAATATGGGTCTAGAACCCAGGAGTGAAGTCTGGGCTGGAGCTAAAGATTTGAGTGTCATGGGAAGATGGATGAGATTAACCTGAAGTAGTATATTAGAAGAGGAGGGGTGGGGGATGCAACTCTGGAGGACCCCAACTTTTAAAAAAAATGTTTAAATTTTTCTAATTGACAAGTAAAAATTGTATATATTTACGGTGTACAACATTATGTTTTAATACATGCATGAATTGTGAAGCTATTTAATGTATGCATTTCACCTTTGGGGGTAATATTAGCCCTGCTGAGAAGCATGTGCTAGATGTTTCTGCTTTAAAAAAAAAAAAAAAAAAAAAAAAAGGTCTTTGTAAACATCACTGTGTGTGTACCATCCACCTGGGCCTACCTTCATGTCACCCTCTGGGAGTTGGAAGGCAAGGAAAAGCAATAGGAACATGAAGCTGCTGTACCATGAGTAGCAGAATTCTATGTCTCTGACCCAGGAGTCTTATGTCTTCTGCCAGCATCCATGAAACTGTGGCAGGCCAATTTGTTAGCTTGCAAGTAGGGTAAAATCGTTGAACCTTCATAGTTTTTGAAACTACTCAGTGTTCTCCTGACTTTTTATCAAATATTATTAATTAGAACAATCCTTCTCTTCTAGGAACTTAAGCACCTAGTGCCTTGGACTCTCCCATTACCCAACTCTAGTTCAATACACCTTGAAATATTAAACTAAAGCCAATACTATAAAAATCATTTCCTAAAATCCCAACGACCTGGGCATAATGGCTTTAATTTACTGTTATAGCCTCCTTGAATTCTCAAGTATATAGTTAAAGCTTTCTACCAGTCAATGTTAAGTGGCCCATGAGAAGCAACAGGCTTCCTACTGAGGGTAGGACCCTTCCACATGAGATTGTACTTCTGCACATTAAATAATTTTAAGGAATAAAACTACACTCTCTGTGGGCTGGAGGAGTTGGGAAAGATTTCATACAAGTAACAGGGCTTAAGTTAAGCCTCTGAAAACGTCACATTTCCGTAGCACATTAGGTATTATAATTCCATTTAAATGACACCAAAACAAACCAAAAAAACCAGACCATAATGACTGGTTCAAAGATACAAAATCTAGATTTCATAACTCCTAGTGCACTCACACATGCACACATGTTCTCTCTCTTTGTATGTGTGTATGCATGTGTGTATAAATTTACAAATATTAAAATGCACAGACATTAAATGAATAGTTTGAAGAGCTTTGACAAATACATACACCCATGCAACAATCATCACAATAAATATATTGAACATTTCTATCACCCCAGAAAGTTCCCTTTGCCCCCACCACTCAGAGGCAACTTCTGATTTCTGTCATCCTATATTAATTTTGCCTATTCATATCATATAATTTAAAGGGATGAAAAGAGTTGAGGTCATTTTGGATCACCGTAGCCACCTGAAATAAAATATGTATGGTACGCTTGATAAAGCATGAGGAAAGAAACAGAGTTGAAGGATACAGGAGTTACAGTTGGATAGGTAAGAACACAGCAAACTTCTAAAGGGGTTTGGATATCAAAGAAAGAAGTTTGAACATGCTTCAAGGGACTCTAAAAAGCCACTGGTAGATCTTAAGTAGGACAGTGGTGTGGCATTTATGATCAGCCTCAAAGTACAATGCAAAATGGACTAGAGTTGGAAAGAAATCAATTTTACAAAGAATAGAATTTAATTTGCAGTGACAAATATTATTCTGCATATAACCCTGGGCAAAGTAGGACAGTCAACTTTGGCATTTTTTGTACAAGACTAAATAGAAAAGTAAAATGGGTTTTGTGAGCAAGGTCATCAGCAGTAGTAAATGGAAGTTGATGGCATAAGAAGGCAATGACAGAAGTGCAAGAAAAATCAGTGTTAGATTCAATGTTTTTCACACCATCTATCACGGTCCAGATTAAGACCATGCTGCAAGATGTCTGGGTTTGTGGATGATATAAAATTAGAAGACTCCTCACTTATCAAAGAAGAGGGAAACAAAAGCCATTCCCTGGGATCTGAAAAAAAGGAAGGCCCACGGCTGACAAAGAGCTCCTATAATTTAGCATGAAACACAAGGAGGTAATAAAGACTAAAGTAAAAGGCTACAACAATATGGCGAAAAGAACACATTGTGCTGCAGGATCTTAATATCTTTCAGTAACAGCAACAGTAATACCATAAATGAGTCAGAAGTAGGAGAAATCAAACCATTCGGCAAAGCACTGTATTAACAGACATAACAAAAGCCTGAGCAATATGTATTGCAGTCCATAAGGACCTAGAAAGCCTCTACCTGATGGGAGATTTTTGTTAGTTTGGAGTGTAATTGGAAGTGAGAGAAGAATCAAGTTAATGGTGACTTGGAAAACTAACAGATGGTAACTAAGACAGTAGTCTATGAAGTTATTTATGGCCAGAAAAGAGTTTAAGAAAATCAAGATATTATTCCAAAGAGATTAAAAGAGGGCATAAGTAGAAAGGATAGAGTTCCAAGGGAAATAATGAAGGCAGATGCTCCTGTTCAAAAAAAGAAAACTTTTAAGAGGGATAAGAGGACACAGGAGCTTAGAAGAAATTACCAGAAACCACAGGATGAGCTAGGGGCTGTGTAGTAATTACATTATGCTGTAGTCAAAAATTTGTAAAACAAAACAGAAAAACATTACATTCCCAGGTTGAGGCCTTGCACAGTGGTATGCACCAAAAAGCAAAATTAATCTCAGAGCAATTAAAGTTAAAACTATAGTTTTAGAGAGTTCATTCATTCTGTTATCTCATCTTCTTGCCAGAACAGATAATTAAGTCTCCTGTAGTGAGGTAAATCATCAGATCCCAGATAAATTTCATAGAGAATACTACTCTTCCTAAATAATTTTAAGGTTAATGTTTTAGACATTTTGTCATGGAATAAATACCATATATTGTAGGGGTTACCAGATAAGTGGATATTCCACCCCAAAATGATGAATGATGAAGGATGATGAGGTGATTTCTCCCAAATATCTACATGTAGGTGTTACCTAAAAGTTTGCCAGGAGAACTGAACTGGCAAGTTAATTTTCCCTGATGTATTTACATCTTAAAGAGAAGCTTATAAGTACTAATGAATAGATTTCTACTGGCAAAGTTTCAGTGAAGGAACTTCAGAGGCATCTTTTTGGCACATTTTTGGCAGTTTGCCTAAAGTAAGAAAGTTTGATAATAAGTGGTAGTCAAAAAATAATGTTTATGTTTATTCTCCACCCCACCCCCCCCAGTTACCTATACTCTATGCTAGAAGATGGGGAGAAGAAAATTACACATGCTATAAATAAACAACACCCAATAAACCTGAATGCTAATGCTTACCTGAAAAACTACTGTTGATGCCTCTAGTAAAATATATCTCACATTCAATATTTTAAATAATTAATATTTCAAAGAGACCTTTGAAATACTCTGTGTCTTATCAAAATCAATCATTTACTAAGGGCATAGAACTCTTGTGAAGGGAAAAGCAAGCAAAAACAAACTTGGAAAAAGAACCAATCTAACTCAATTCAAAACCATCTACTAAAGTACATCGAAGTTTACTTTATGAAAAGATTGGACTGGCCGGTTTCTCAATTGGTTAGCGCATGGTGCTGATAACATCAAGGTCCAGGGTTCAATCCCTGTACCAGCCAGCCACACCGGCCACCCGAAAAAAAGAAAAGATAAAGGTTGTTTTTGGAGGTAGGAATATTAATAATATCTATCATTTATTGAGAGCTTACTAAATGTCAGGGACTGTTCTAAGGGATTTATATTGAGTCCCCACACCAACCTGTTTTATTTTCTAGGTGAGGAAATGGAGGCAAATTTAGGCAAATTAACTCATTCAAGTTCATATAGCTGAGAAGTTTCAGAACCAGCATTAAAACCCAGGGATGTTTTGAGTAGGGGATGTCAAACTCCAGCCCTTGTGGTTAAATCTAGTCACCACCTGCTTTTCTACAGTCCACATGGTAAGGATGGTTTTCACTTTTTAAATGGTTTTTAAAAAATAAAAAGAAT